GAAGGGACCCACACTGGAGCAGTTCGTGAACAGCTGCAGCCCGTGGGAAGGATTCACATTGGAGAAGTTTGTGGAGAACTGTCTCCTGTGAGAGGGACCTCACGCTGGAGCAGGGGCAGAGTGAGAGGAGTCCTCCTCCTGAGGAGCGGCAGAGACAAGGTGTGATGAACCGACCATAACCCCCACTCGCCATCCCCCTGTGCCGCACAGGGGGAGGAGGCAGAGAAACGGGAGTGAAGTTGAGCCCGGGAAGAAGGGAGGAGGGGGGGAAGGTGTTTTAAGATCTGGTTTTATTTCTCACCATCCTACTCTGATTTGATTGGTGATGAATTAAACTCCCTTTTCTCCCCAAGTTCAGTCTGTTTTGTCTGTGACAGTAACTGGTGAGTGATCTCTCCCTGTCCTTATCTCAACCCTCGAGCCTTTCATCATATTTCCTCTCCCCTCTCCAGCTGAGGAAGGGGAGTGATCGAGCGGCTTTGGTGGGCACCTGGCATTTATCCAGGCCAAACCAAAAGAGCCAACATGCAAGATGGTGACTTAGATCCTGAGAAAAGAGTGCAAACTTTCCAAGATAATGTACATCAGATAAACGTCATAAGCAGTAACTGAGAACAATTGAAAACATTTTTTATGCAACATTTCTCTGAGGGTTTTTTTTCTCCTTTCTTTGCATTCACTTTACATAATTTTTCATGAGGTTTTTTGTTTGGTTTGAATAACATGCCTGATGAGAATATTGTGGATGGAAAAAAAAAGTATAGAATGAGCTGTAAATCTTTGGTTTTAACTGCTTTATTAGATGAGCTATCTGCTTTTTCTGGGAAATTCAGAATTAATGGCGACCCATCTCTGATGTGATTCCTATTACTGTACTATCTTACCTTTCCCATAATTCCCTGTAATCTGTGAAAATTCTATGAAGCCAAAGGAATTATTTTACAAGAAGATGGGGAAGAGAATTTTGGCCCAGACACTGATTATCGTTTCAGAAAAGTGCACTTACCTGGAGCCCAGTTCAGGTATCTGAAAGGACTGCCCCCAATCCACTGCCAGCCACTGTCAAGTGCACTGAAAAGACCAGTCCAGAGCTTTGCACTGACACCCAGGTCACTGGTGAGCCCTAAATGGCCAAAAGAAACAGTCAAGTTACTAAATGCTTCTGATTTTGTAAGTTATTCAATAAAACTTGAAATAAAGTTTTAAAGCATGGAAAAAGAAAAAGTGTCATAGTAGATTTTTTTAATATAACTTAGATTTTTTCCATTCTTTTAATACACTTTTTTGTAAGAAAGTGACCAGTTTTTTAAGAATGTCACTAAGACTTATATTCACAAGGTACCTATAATTTTTTTGTGTTAAAGCTCTTGGAGCTGACCTACATTTTATTTGTATGGATTAATCTTTTTGGGTCCTTTATTCACTTTACCTAATAAATACATTTCTTCACGAAGGTCTGTGACACTTAATAATTCTGCATTCTGCTGCTGGCAGCTTTTTCTTGCTTGGTGCCATGTCAAAAGTGACTCTGAGTTTATCTGATAGTGGATTTCTGTCACAGGATTTGTTTTCCAAAGGTCATCGTGGATGGTGTCTATAAAACATGATAACAGCTACATGACAAGATAATCGTACTTGGTAATGCAGAAAATAAAATCTTCATTGCAGACTAAAACTGTGTAAATGTATGGGTTGCTAAGTTATTACACATAGTTTGCCACATACCTATACTTTCTCCATTCAATATTAATCATACATTAATAACATAAGAAACTACTTCTCCTTACAAACCTAATTTTTCTACATCCACCCTGTTTTTTTTTATTCATATAACTCATCTACTTCTCTCACAGTTCAGTCCACACTAACCCACTCACTGATATATGCTACCTGTAGACACATATTTCCCCATTCCCTATACAGAAAACCTTGGTCTCCACATCCATTTCTTACCTTGAGACCCCTCTTACGCTCTCCCAGACCTCCTAACATGACAGCAAGGATCATTTCCAATCAGATGTGAAGCAGGGGGGAAGGGGTAGGGTATTTGTGCTGGGGTTACTGGAAAGCTGTGTTGGGTGATTTGTGGGTGTAAGGAGCACCAAAGGCAGGTGAAGGTCACTGCCCATGTCCTGCATCCTTCCAGTCACTCCAGCCCTCCTGTTCTCTGCTCCATCCTGTGATACACTACTGTCTCCTTCTTCCCTATATCTCACCTTCCTCATCCATTGCACTTCTTTCTGCCTTTCATTCGCCCTGGCTTTCTTCTCACTAACTCCTAGGTCTTTTCCCTTCCTTCTTCCATCAGTCCCATTCACCACCCTCACAATACTCCTCATGTGTACCAGTCTCGGCAGCACTGTAGAACTACTCCTCAGCTGGAAAACCAGTGAGAGGGGATACCTCATTTTATCATTGCTTAGCTCACCAGTGAACTAGGCTTGCCAGAATCCAGTGTTACTTCCACATCCCAAGGAGATTTTGACCATGCGAGTGGATGAAACTTTTGCTTAGTGCCTTTCTTGAAATCTTTATAAATAAATTACCTTTTAGTGGACAATTTCCAAACAATTGGTCTTTATCAAAATCTGAAGAAGTTGCACACCAGAGAGAACCTGCATCGTCGCTCAGAGGGATACACTCAGCATACCATTTACCATTGCGCTTAAAAGGGAACACACAAGGTGCACCAAAGGCATTTCCTCCCAGTGTATAGGTATCTACAGAGAGAAACACAGAGCAATAGTAGTCAGCTGGTATCAAATGTTCACCACAGTTTCTGCTTATTGGCAGCTCTCTGTGTACACAGCTGAGTTCTGCGAGAGCTCAACACATCAGTACTTCATACTACAAAGCCTTCCAAGGCTATTGTGCCAATTAGACATATCTATCGCAAGATATTCAGAATTAAGACTTTCAAAAAACACTTATTTGACCCAGACTAGTTTCTATCTAATTTTTTGTTTTCATTGCTATCTGGACTACTGTATCAGAGATATTTGTGCCTCAGCTTATCCCATTGCATATATACTTCTGTCCTCAAATGATGTTTAGGATCTTTTTTTTTTTCCTCGTATGGTTGAAGAGGCTTGGAAAGGAGATATCAGAATATTTCATTGGTCGTTGTGAGAGGAAGTTTTATCTTAAATCTGCAAGTAACTCTGTTGGGAAGTGACCCTCCCATCTCCATGCAGTCAAATGATGAGGGATGATGTGGGAAAAGGACATCTGACTCTCCAGTGTTCCTTTGTCAGGGTGTCAGGCCTTTTTGCATCCTAAATTATTAAAGCACTGCTTTTCCTTTTCCTTTTTCCTAATTTTTCTTCTTGCTGGGCCTGGGAAACACCAGGTAAACACTGTTAAAAATGGATCACATCTATGTTAACTAGAAATTAAGTTCTTAGAGATAGTACATGGCCAAACCAAGTAATAGCAACAATAAATGTTTAAATATAGCACAATCACCACTTCTACAAATTGATCAGACATATTTTGAAACAGTCATAGATTTTCTCCCACTGTTGCTGTACAAACAGAATTCCCATTCTTCCTTATGATTACACCACAGGCCTTGGTCATTTTACTCGATCATTTGACAGAACTGCACTTTCCAGGTTATGCAGAAATATATACAGTCATGTTCGCCTTGCATTTCTGCTCCTTATTCGTAGTCAGCTCTGCTACTGATGTCGCTGAGAAAAGGGTTGCTGCATGACAAGCAGGTGGTGGGATGCTTTGTAAATAGGGGCAGCCAAGTTAGCTATAAGCAAAAATTAATTTTCAGTACTCACCCTCATAGCGCTGGGAGCACACGCTGTCTGTGGTTCCATGGATTTTCCACCTGCTCCCTTTGCCTGATCCTTTGGACAACCTGATTTTCTTCCCCATCCCTTTGCCATAGTTGAAAAATAAATCTTTGCCATGAGTTGCAAGTGTGTCATTTCTACATTCCCACCACTGGAGCTCATCTGTCCTGTTACAGGATTCCAGCGTAATGGCAGCCGCCTCCTCCTTGGCGAGCACTCCCAGGCATAGCTTGAGCCCCATGCTCAACAGCTGCGTGGCAGAGACCCACCTGAACTTTTGATACTCATTGTGCTCATCACAAGTGGTAGTTATGACCGAACTAGAGTTTTGAGCTTGGGCGCACAGCTTGCTGTCTTCATTGTAGACTGAAAATATTCCATTACCTATAAAATAAAATGAGAATTCAAACATCTGAGGAGAGATTTTGTGAGACGTAAGTCAGTTACTTGCTATTTGACTGTCTGCTACAGAAAAAAATTGAATATACAGAGTCCATAGAGAAAGAAATCATGGGAGTTTAATCATCAGTATGAAGGATACTCATCTAAATGTTCTTAAGATGCAAGCAACACAAAGACTGAAAATATAGCTCTTTCAAGAGAAATGCTCATCTTCACATCCTTCCTTAAAGCACACTGTTCTCAAATGCCATTTGAAAATGACCTTTATTAATTTCATGAATTCTTCAAAGTTCCACCACCAGTCAGCATATTAAACAGGATTTAATTTTTCCAAGTGAAAAGACCTTTTGCTTTAGAGCTATTAAAAATGGTTTGCATACTCAAAATTCAACCATTTTATAGTTGGCCTGGAATGACGTTGTGCCTTTCAGCTCATCAAGCAATTGGGGTATTTTTCTTTTTTGGAAATTTTTGGCAACTGTGCAAAAATCATTTCTTCACAGAGTTCAACTTGTGAGTTTCACAGGAGGGAAGCCACAACTTGCAGCACCATCACTTCAGCTCTGAGCGCAGTTAAGTATCCTAAGTGCAATTAATAGCTACGCTTGTAAATATAAACGTGAGACACTGCACAACAGGATTTTGTATCTTAAGACCAGCTTCAAAAAAGAGCCACAGCTTCAGCCTGCTCCAGACCTTGACCACTTTTGCAGCTGGCCTTGCATGCCTTAGCTCCCCTCTAAGCGACAGGAACATAACCCAACTCACTCTGCTGTGCCAGCTTTAGTGCCACCAAGGTTTCCTGCCAGGGGTGGAATAGTTAAGTGGGGCTTCACAACCCCCTGCATCCCTGAGCTGCCAGGGAGTGGTGAAATAGCCTCGATGATGTTTCTCTGAAAGTCTGCAGACCTGAACAAGCCAGATGGCATTTCCCCTGGCACAGCTCTCCTGCTGCAATGGTTCTTCAGTAGGGTTGGCAGAGGGTGGATTAAACCTGCCTTGGTCTCACGCAAAAACATGCACATAAGAAATTCTCCTGTAGTGGATTAGATCAGAGTTGTTGACTAGTCCCTGCTGCCCTTCAAGTGATAGCATTGGACTCCTGCAATTCTCTAGCTGGGAGCTTTCTGGGGGAAGAGCTTTGGGGGTTGGACTAGATGACCCACAGAGGTCCCTTCCAACCCCTACTATTCTGTGATTCTGTGATTCTGTGAAGAGCTGCAGACAAAGCGTCATTTGTTTTCCTCTCAGCAGTAGGAGTGTCATGGACAGAAGCTTGTAAGGTCCCTCCAAAAGTCATCAGCTTGGAAACAGGATTCCAATATGCAATGATCAGTATGCCATGGTCTACAGGCGGTGTCAGAGAAACTCACAGCACACATCAGCCAGTGGTTCTGTGCTTGCTGAGCGGACACAGCCCTGTACATCTGCGCTGTTCTAACCTTCGGTGGAGTAATTTGAGATCAGCTATTTTCTGCATTCAGCTGGCTGATTTTCAAGAACCAGCACTGTCCAGGTTATGCCCACATCTATTGGTGTATTTCTTTCACTCATACAACACCTTGAAAACTGGGTTAAGGAAACAGAATGCCTATATAGGTAGCACCAAATTTAAGAGTTTAATAAAACTGTTTCAAATTACATGCTGTGGCTAGTTCTAAACTCACTGTCCATGAAGAAGGACATCAGGAAAGCAGGAGAAAGGACTTGCAAACCTCCACACTCAGCAGAGGACAAAGACTTACCAGACATTTGAAGAGATGTACTAAAGCAAAAGAGAAAGGTCAGGAGCAGGTAGACAGCCATAGCCAAATGTTTCTCTCCCTGGTCCCCTTCGCCTCAAATCGATGCTGAAGACCAAATCTGCGCCTTGCAAGAAAACCTGTCTTGCACTGAACCAGATTAACAAATCCTTCTCAGTTTTTAAGACCCGACAGATACAGGGAAGTTCTGAGCTGCAAATAAGGAACTGCATCTTGTCACATGAGTAATTTTGAAATAATACATTAATGAATAAACTTTGCTTTCTAAGCTAGTTTCTCTACTGTGTAAAAGTTTTCTGTTCCATAGAAATATGAGATCTAAGAGGTAACATTTTAGTGAGGATTTCTGGAGACGTATCATACAATTCAGGATCATTATGTTTATGAAGAAAGTGACATGAATATCCCTTTACTGGAAACAAAGGAAAAAAGGTAAAAAAGAAGGGGAAGACTTGTCTGTATCAATAAATGAGGAAAACAACAGAGCGCAGTGCAGTACTGTGAAAAATGGGCTGGGACACCATGAAAATCAAGTAGTTAGAATCGGAGAAAAGCAGAATTTCCCCATGTCTGCAGTTCTGCAGAAAACAGAAAAGCCGTAGAAAATAGGACCTGTGTTCCTCAGGAGGCACCTGACCCTTCTTTTGCTCCATTTCTGACTATATGCGGGAGCAATGTACCCAAACTGACAGTAACAATTGAAGAAATTCTGAAAAGAAACCACACAGTTCTAGGAATAAGGTAACCTGTAACTGGAACATGGTGGATTTTCAGTTTTTGCTAGAGGTGAAAACTAAAGTGATAAGGAATACTTCCACTTTTTTCATCCTGCTGGTCTGTAGAAGTTTGCACCCCCTAAAGTGCACATACTTCAGGCATTCTGACAAAGTTCAGATTTTTGCTTTGAAAAACCTCTCACCTTTATGACAGGCAAAAGAATTCAAAATACATAGAGGGTAGGGAAGAAAAAACACACTTTCAGGGAATATTTACATTCCTTTTTCCATGTGGTCTTTGAAAAAACCCCAGTTCCCTTATCTTCAGGAGAGGCTGGTTTGGGATAACTTCCACAATATTTTATTTGCAGCAAGACTTTCCCTGAAAATTGCTGCTGTTGTAGGCAATGAAAACCCTAGACACCTACATGAGGATGTGGAATCCTGCTTCTGTCATTCTGACTCAGATGCAGGTGGACGACTCACTAGGTCTGAAAAGGTACACACGGGATTAGAGCAGAAAAAGAGAGAGAAAGTGAAAGAAAATAGTGGGACCTGAAGGCCAGCAGGTGCAGCTAGACCAAAAACATGGAAAGAATGGGAGCCTGAGAAGGACAGTGAGACCTGAGGGAAGTGGGAGAAAAGAGAGGGCTGCCTCAACGATGCAGCAGATGGTCAGTTACTCAGTAAATTATGATGCATATGCAAAGATGGCTGCACTGAGTCTGGAGGAAAGCGTTCTGGTACTCCCCAAGACGGGAATGCTCAACTCTGCAACCTCAGCTTCCCAACTTGCCTTGCTTCCTTGTTCAGGAGCTCCAGATGTGCGGATGGAAAAAATATTCTGTACTATTTAGGCAGGAGAAATGTAATCCCTTGTGGTTCTGTTGCATACAACATCTCAGCATCTCCAAAGCTACCGGGAGGCAACAAGTACAATTACAACAGGGAAAAAGAAACTAGGTCTGTTCTGAAGAACGAACGGGGTTTGCTGAAGGACTGTTATTGATGATCTGCTGAGAGAGGCTGAGAAAGTGTAAAGCTTAGTAAGGTCAGCTTCGCCTCAGTGTTTGTATGTTTGCCTGAGCAGACCCTATCACCGCCTACAAACTGGGAAAAAAAAAATCAGGAGATTGCAGAGATGCACTCCAGCATCTTCCACTCGGCAAGGCGCACCCTGAAATCTTGGAAGCGGTGAGGAAGAGAGGCTGCTGAGTTTTGTGTTGAGTCAGCATTGTTCCTTCGGCAATCGCCGCTCCCGGGCAGGAAGTTACAAGCACAGTGTGCAGATTCACCACCTTTTCTCTGAAGTCTGAACTGTTCTGGGGAAAAGGGGAAACGAAAATTAAGCACAAGGGTATCAAGGAACATAACAATGTGCAAAGAGACAAACCTTTACACGCTATTGAATATTGCCATCAAGTTGTTCCTCAGCTGCCCAGAGAAATAGATGGGTGAGTCCGTCCAGGTTCAACAAGATGCTTCGTTACAGAATGTAAATAATTCATTTTCAAAAATCACTGGTATTAAAATATGAAAGGAATTTTGTGATTATTTAGCCTGCTATAACTTGATGTAAGATTTGCACGCAGAATCCCCACATATAGCACAACCACAGTTTACAACAGACACATTATTCAAAATAAAAAAGACATGCTTTAAACCTCTGTAGACACATTCTAGCAAAAAAAAAAAAGCCAGAGAGTGAACAACCTTTCCGTTTTCCTAGATAGGCTCAAAATACACTGAAAGAGCAACATAAAGCATTTTCTTGCTACCTTTTCATGCTGCAAAATTTTTTTTTTTTTACTGCTCTAACCTGCCAAGATCAAACATAAGAAATCTTGGCAGAATCAGAGGATTATGGATATGAATTATTAGTGATTGGTTAAAAATTTCCTTTGCTTTTCTACCCATCACTTACATTTCATTTTGTTCATCGTGAAATTATTTTCCTCGGTTTTACAGCAAGAATATTTAAGAAAAGCAAGTTCCCAATTCCTCTGTGAATGTATATTTATGCAACATACAGCCCAAAACCTTCCCATAGAAGTGGCATCTACTCAGGAGACAAAATAAGAGACCACAAGAGCGACAAGGCGGTTCGAAGGCACCTGACCGATCCCAACAGGATGAGCAGCTGGTAGTAGAGAATGGCTGAAAGAATTGGTGATGGATCAGAACACATTAAGTAACAAATTATACCACATCCATATGAAAATGAATCATTTCCCAGAAGACATGCTCCTTTTTTACAGTCAAATAGAGCAACATCAATAATTTCCCCCTCTCAGTCTTCAAAACTTTTTTGACGTAGTCAATCACTTGTCAGGAACATCGCCGCTTAGCAGCAGGAAGAGGGCATAATGCCAGATCACCAAATGATGTTTGGCAAAACCATCACACAACCACTCAGTCCAGGGACAATGGAAATAACACGAGGGTGTGGAAAGAGAACACCAGTCTGGAAACTGCTCTCTCAATTTTTCTTGAAATTTTGTGATCAGTTTTGTAACAAGTATGACCAAAGGAATGATGATGTTAAAAAACTGGGACTGGAGTCTCTACTCAAACAGTCTAATAAATGAGTCACCATCACTGAAAGGTACTAGCTGGGAAAAAAGAGGAAGAAAAAAACCCCACCCCAAACCCAAACAAGCAAAAAACCCCACCAGAACAAAAACCAAGAAATCCTTTTTTTATAGTAACAGGTCCCTAGGTAAAAGCCTTCTATTTAATCTTATTTTAATTAGATAGTGTTTAAAGTGTTCAAGCTTGTTCATTTTTCTACCTTCTATTCAAAAACCTCCTTTAGAGTTTGTGCATAAGGCATCAGTGCTCATGGAAGCATGTAGCGCTTACCACATGGAACTGCAATGATTTCCTGTGCTGGAGATGTCACTGCTTCCACGTTTGCTCTTTTTAATGGGGAATTGGCTTCAATTCCATTGCAATAGGAGGGACAGTAAACCATGCAGCTTAAATTTCCTCCTCTTCTGAAAATCTTTCAAGTCTTTTTCACTCCCCCTCCTAAAACAAGCAGGCCAAGCAGATCCATCTTCAGAGCAGAGCTTCTGGTATGGAACCTCCTCTATTTTTTCTGTACGCATTTGGACAGGTGAGCGGAACAGACACAGCATTTCACGGAAGCAGCTGCACCTACTGCCAGCTATTAACTAGCATGGCATTTTTAATTCTCTTCAACTCAAAGGTGATGCTGGATTTCAGGCATAACGAGTTCAGGACTATCCAGGCTCCAGCAGCTGGATTCTCTCACTGACACTTCTTAGCCGTAGGGATGTGCCTGGTGAGTATGGCAGAGCACCAGAAATGAGACATCCCCTCAACCTTTATTTTGTTCCAATCATATGTTTGCACATGTACACGTGATGAAGTGTTACCTGAAAGAATCACTCGGTGTGCAGACACCGCCTTCAGATTGTGCAGGGCCCCAGAACGGGAGTGAACTTCTTTTGGGTAGAGACTGCACCTTTTTGTTGTTTGCACAATAGCTGGTGCAGCGAGCTTGGGGTGCCAGTCAGGGCCTCGTCACCTTTCGCTGTCCCTTTCACATACCTATATAGCTGGCACTGCTTCTCCATACAATTGAAATGACATAATCCTTAATATCAGGCATTGGAACAGGCTGCCCAGGGAAATGGTTGAGTCACCATCTCTGGAGGTGTTTAAAAACCGTGTAGATGGGGCACTTTGGGATTTGGTTTAGCAGGCATGGTGGTGTTGGGCTGACGGTTGGACTCAATGATCTTAGAGGTCTTTTCCAACCTATGATTCTATGATTCTGTGATCTTAAATCAGTCAGGAGGTTTCTGGCACACAAGCTGCATCAGGTGGCAAGAAGAACCATTAGAAGCACTGCTCCTTGAAAAGACATGCTCAAAAACTGCGCATCAAAAATGGAAACAGCAACAGCAACCGAGGCAAGGAAATAACTTGGAGAAAGAGCACAGAGCCAGAGGAGGAAAGGGGTTCCAGAACAAATTTTCCCATCTTACCTACACACATATGGAATTCAAGATTTTTACTAAATCACTCAGCTGACATTTTTGTCTGTGCTATAAGCAGACAGTCCCTGGACAGATTCAGAAAAATATGGTCCATATATTATTTGATCACAACTTAGGATGGAGTGTCTTCCTGGTTGTATCATCTCCTTTATAACTTTAACCTGTTAGAGTCTTATATAAACAAGGCTATAAAATGAAAAACTATTTAAAAAAATCAAAGCTAGTTACTGTTTATTTCACAAAACAAAATCTGAAACCACAAAACCAAACCTTGCAAGCCTTTGTATGTGAGTGAGGAA